AGTTGCAGGACAGCCAGGCATGTAACACAAAAAAAAACCTGTCTCCAAAGTCAAGAAATAAAAGGACTTTTCTCATGCAGAAGAACAACTCAAGAGACATGCAGTAAAGCAGGTTCAGATGGACTAAACCTCTAAACTGGTTACAGTGTGTTTAAAATGTGCATAGGTTTAAGAAATAAAAAAAGAGAATAGACCATGATAAAAAAATAGTTTAAAAATAAAGTCTTTAAAGAGAAAAGGTAATATAAAAAGAATAAGCCACATAAAGATGAGAAATAGATAGGGAGTCGGGATCCCAAGAAACCCAGATGAAACACAATTAAACAAACATGCCAGCTAAAACAATGAGTCAAATTGAACACATTCTGTTTTTAAAAAATATGAGTATGGGTATTTTGCTTGCATGTATGTCTATGCCTGGTGCCTGGTGAAGTCAGAAGAGGTTGTCAGATCTCCTATAACTGGAGTGAGAGACAGTTGTGAGCTACGATGATGTTTCTGTGAATTGTGCCTGTGTCCTCTGGAAGAATAGCCAATGTTATCAATCACTGATCCAAATTTCTAGCTTACATTTCAAATTTTTACACTATAGTTGTATTGATTTAACAAGGTCTGATACTACAGTTGTACTGAATGTAGGTTGTAAAAGCTTTAGATTAAAATCTAATAGAAACTACAGTTAGATTTAAATTGTATAAAGAAACAGACTAGCATAAGAGCACTTAAAATCATTATTTTTGTTAGGCTTTTTGTTTGTTTGATAAAAACATAAGCCTCATGCTCTGTGCAATTCAGAGCCTTAAGATATTGACATTACACATATGGGTATAGGACACATTTTATATGCTACTCTTCTGAATGTTGTCTCCCAAAGCAGCAGGGAATTTTCTATTTAATTTTACCCCATGATCCAGGTAGAACCTTGGGGGCAGGTACACTGAATCTTACCAGGATTGAGTTCAGGAAAGAAGAAGTAAATCCTCTTAATGAACAAAAGAGCCACTTCACAATACACCATCCTATGGCATACAGAGTTAGTGTGAGGTTATATTATTTCCCTCTTAAAGGCTCAGAGTTTTAGCATATTTTGTGAAATATAACACATTGTTGAACACGTGTTACACTTGTTAATCTTGTAAATAATTGACTCTACCTCTATGTAGAGACAGGTACTTGTATTCCCCATTAAGGTTTACTACATGGAGAAAATCCTGGACCAGACTAGGAGACCAATCCTGGGAAGGTGAGTTCACCTTAAGACAATATTATACTTTACCTCCCCAGTTTCCCGGCCCTCAGTGAAGTTTGTGAGTCACCAAAAGGTTTGCCTGGCTCCGTTACATTTCTGAGTTCTTACTGGGAATGATAACAATTCATTTTCTCCCAGTGCTTTTTTATTTAGATGTTGGACAAAACCTTTATGCTTCATAACGCTGAGCATCCGTGCTCTTTTTCTAATGTTTCCCTCACTGCCAACTTTTGGATGCCTGCCATTGTGTTCCTGACCTCCATGCCAGCTTTTCTCATTCACTCTCCTCCTATAAATTCATATCTGTAAGATTTACACCTTGTCTGCTCTGGGATGATTTTTTGAAGTCACCAATAAATTCTCATCAAATTCTGTGTGAGTCTCTTCTCTGTCCTTGGGAGTCCTTTATAAAATATTTTTATTAGTTAGACTAGGAAGCATATAAAGTGACCCCAATTTCGCCAGTATAATGCAATGTCATTGCCAAGGCTGCTAAGAGTTTCCAGCAACACTTCTTTCCTACCTTTAAATTATCAAATTAGCAGAGAACTGATTCCTATCCCTGAACCTCTAGATTGCATCAACTTCACAAGAACATTTTGCTCTTATTCACAACAGGTCTCTAGTTATGGATATCAGAATAGGTCACAGGCTAATACTTGAAATAGACAGTACTTTTTCTGAGATCATAAAACTCCCCACTCTAAGTTACTCCATATTATATAAAATAGTGCTTTTTCAGTCTGCGCAGTGCCTTCTGAGTCTCTATTTTACAAACAGGTTTGACTCCACTTTGACAAGAAATTATGACTGAACCCCAGAAACTACAACATCTTTCATTCCCTACCTTTTTAGCATACTGATTAACGACTCATTCCTATGATTATATGATGGTTGAGACTTGGAACTGTGGAAGTATTTGGGCATATTGAAAGTGTATCAAGGAATCTTGTCCCAGGAACACATTGGACACACTGGATTTAGGAAAGGGTGTAACTCTCAATCCTGGACCCCGTTAAGTAATGGATATGTAACATTGAAATGCCATGGCTTTCCCAGAGTCTAGAATCTGAAAACTGGTGTGTGAATCAAGGACGGGGAATTTACCCAGTCAGCTCAGGTCCTATGTATTAATGTAGCAGTCTCGCTGCTTTAACATATCTGGACATTGCTCAGTCTTATCACCTTGGATTTTGCAGCATTACTCTGAAACCTGATACCAAAAGTTTTTACCAACTGCTCCTTCTTTTGGTTCATTACCTATCAATACAGACATTGTTTAAATCAATTAAGAAGCATTTCAGGTCTGTTGCAGCCACATTAATCTGTATTCATTCTATAACCAACAGTGTGTGTGTCTGTCTGTCTGTGTGTGTGTGTGTGTGTGTGTGTGTGTGGAGAGAGAGAGAGAGAGAGAGAGAGAGAGAGAGAGAGAGAGAGAGAGAGGAGAGAGAGACTGGGGAGAAGAAAAATATAAATATAAGGATATAATAAAGGAATTTTCATTTGCTTCAGAGAAGATAAAAGTTAGGAGAAAAGTTCCAGGGATACACATGGTTAAAATTATTATCTTTTTATACTATAAAGCAATACATTTGTTGAGATCAGGGCATGCCCCACTCTAAGTTATCCTATAGTATATAGCAATGGTTTTAGAATCAATGCATTGCTTGTGGAGTATAGGGGAGGAGACTTCTCCATTTGCTTCATCTTCCTTTACAGACACTGCCCTCAAATACTGACTCAATAAGTTATAGGTATCTCTATGACAATCCAGTACTGACTTAGCGTTTTGTTTGACTTGTGAAAGATCACCATGTTTGACTTACTCTGCAAGAATTCCAGAACATTGTTCTAAATACATTTTATGCAAAAAGAAATTTTCAGCAAACACAGAAAATAAGTATCTTAACCTTTTGCATTGTAAGGCAGATAGTTTTATTCTTGACCTGAACACTCACAAACAGTTCCTTAATAAACCAACATTTCTTATGCTTTTTGTTCTTCTTGATGTGAATTAGTTAGTGAAATTACATAACTATACTTTCAGTGGACTTTGATAGCGGGAAGATTGTCAGGAAGAACCTAGAAGTCTTTTTAGGCATAACTATTGGGAATGATCATTGGTCTGTTTCTTTTATTACAGATGGAAATTTTGTCTTTAAAATTACCATTCGTGAAGCACATTGTCTGATGAGGGTACAGTACAAACTCTCTCTCAGCCAAGATAAAAATAAACTTTCTTAAATATATTTCTGTGTATGTGGCATAGGAAGAACAGCATGTAATAAAATTTCAGGTTGTCAGTTAACCGCAATGTGTATCTTTTCCCATTTAATTTCAATACAGCATACTAACTATAACTGATAAATGATATTAGATAAGAGGTGAAATCCTCTTCGATACTAGTGGGTTTGGTTACAAATTCATACTCCATTTAAGAAAAACAAAATTATAAATTTTCGTTACTTACTTTCTAGTTTTTTCTGACAAGTCAGCTGCATCTGCTTGCAGAGCTAAACAGAGCCACTACCACCAAGTCAAGTCCAAAATCTCTTCCCTATATTTATAGCCAATAAGCACTGAACAGTTAGGACTAGTTTGAAAAGTACTTAAACCTCATGGATTCTTGATCAAATACCATGACTGATCTATAGACATGAGTATTACTGCAGTTAATCTTTGGTGACCTGAAAACTTTCCAGAAGATGAGGTGAAAAAATTCCCTCTTTGTGACATTCAACACACAAATATCTGCAATTATACTTATCATCATTCATTCATTTACACACTGTCATAAAACTGGGTCTCAGATGTACTGAAATAGTAAAAAAAAATATAGTCTTTATGTTTATAACTAACCCACTGTAGCTATGTGAGTCAGGAGACTAGAATGTAAAATCTCTTAGTAATTGCTTATGTTCCTCTTCAAATACAATAACACTTCTCTGACATTTTTCTTGTTTCTAACAGTAAGGTAGTAATAGTTAAGTAAGTACAATATCATTTAAGTCTATAGAAACAGGGTTGCCCAAAGAGGTAGCAATGGTGTTTGATCTTTGCTGTTTCTAGATTATAGGACTTATTAGTGTTGTGAAAGGCAAGACAGGTACAGTGCCTGTTAAAACCCCATGCCTTGATTATACCAGGTAATGAAGGGGCAGAAAGCATGGTTTTGCCATCATTTGTATATTGCACTTGCTCTACTATGGTGAGAGAATCAATTCTCAGTAATTCAAGCACTGGAAAAATCAGAGGAAAATTCTTGTTCTTATGGTGAGTCTCACAGAATTTTCTGCGGTAATCACAGCACAGTTCATTCGCTCTCTGCTGTTTCAGTCTCTGAATTAAGAAACATGGACATCATTAAATGATAACTGAAGAGTTAGCTGAAGAATTCTGTCAGGGAAATTGTTTGCTTGAATTCATTTGCAAGTCCATTAATATCAGAACAATATTGGCTGTCAATTCTGCTTGGGAGATGAAAAAAGCAATTTTAGTTTCCTCAACAACTTTAGTGATCCTTGGAATGTAACACTCCATATGCCATTTATTGGAGTGTTTAATAGATGTTCAGGGAATAAAAGATGAAATGTAATGGGATAGGAGAAGAAGGTGCAGGAGCTGTCAGGCTTACTGTGGGACTAGTGGTCAGAGTTAAGACAAGGTCTTGAGTTGAGTTTATTTGAAGGGAGTCGGTGCAAGGTGAGGGGATGAAACATAAATGGAAAGTAGGAATAATCTCAAGTATCTATTGTGAGTCACTGGGCAGAGTTATTGTTTCAGCGTTAACGATAGTTGTCTGGTAGTCTGATGAGGAGGCAGGTACGACCTCGAGTGTAATTTGTAATCCTGTCACCGGGACTGCACAGATTGATGCATTATCATCTTCTTCACCCGCGACTACGAAGGGGACTTGTTGAACACTGTTATCAGGGTTGCTATCAGACACTTCAGATTCTGATTGATTCTCCCAAAACATGAGGCTGGCATTTTGGTTCTCATATAATTGTTGAAGACATTGTATTAAAACTGGGAATGTAATGTCCTTATGGTTTGTAATTTGCCTTTTCATGGTCCACCATTTACTTCGCAGCCATTGTGGTGACCGAACACTTTCCCATCCTTTAGCTAAGGTATCCCATTGAATTTCACTTTCATCAGCTACATCAAGTTCTGCTACTCTGTGGATGAGAGTGATTTCATCTTTCCTGCTCCATGCAATGCCTCCAGTCTGTTTCCAGTTCAGGTAGTTGAGCCATTTGGCACGACACTGCTTTGCTGAGCGAGTACCTACTCGTTGAGCCACAGATGCCCAACACACACCCTGTGTGACTTTATCGCCCACAGCAGTGGATGTCAATTCATGAACCACATCTGCAAGAATCTGTTCTTCTTCTTCACTCCATTTTCCCGCATTGCAAGGATGTTTCATCAGTCGGCATCGGTCTTTCACAGAAGATGGACTTCTTCCCATGGCGGCACCTATTTTTATCCAGTCATTGCCATGCTGCTGCCAGAGCTCCTTGAGCTTCTCAATTTCTTCAGGCGTGTACTTTCCCACATGGTTTCTGTCATCGTACATTCGTACCACTCTTCTATAAACTGAAAACAAAGGCCGATTCAGACCCAAAGATATAGATCTGTAGAAATCTTTGCGTTTACCTTTTGACATCTTAAAAATAATTTCTGCAGCATTCTCTACTCCATGTTCCTGCATGTAACGTTCAATGTTGCTCATCAAAATATCTGTTTCTTCCTTGGACCACATCCCCTGCTTCCATGTATGTCCTTGTTTGACTAGATTCTCTTTAACTCTTTTACATGTGAACCATGCTTTGTTAATGATTGACTCTTCCTTATTAGCCAGGGGAACTCCTTCATCTGGATTGTCATCCTGTAAAATATGTAACTGCATCATAGTTCCTTCAGTAATCTCTTCATCTGCCTCCTCTGTGGCTGTGGTTGTGTCCAACTCAAATCTCTGTTCCATTTCTGGTAGTGGGAATGCAACAGGTTGCATGTAATAAGTCTCATCACCTTCTGAGGACAAACAAGGCCTCTTATTTGGAGGGTCAGTAGGGTTTTCCATTTCTTCAGGTTCATTCTGAAGGCAAAGAATGATGTTCCCATCTGTGTCCTCAGTAAGTAAGACAGAGCTTACAATCTCGACTGTTACTGGCTCAGGACCCTCTTCAAATGTACTCATCTTCAAATATATTTACAGGCTACATCAGTCAGAGCATTTCCAATAGACTCAAGTCACTTTTTTCTTAATTTCAATAATATAAAAGGGATGCTATCTGCAACACTTGACTGTTTGACAATGGTAAGCACAGGTTTAGCTATACCTGGGTAGTGTGGTAAACTACTGGAATTAACTGCCCTTAAAGATGCTTGATATGTTGACCATATCTCTTCTCCTAGGCTAGTTGGCAATGTCTGTTAGATGTTGAATCTGAGAGCACAGGACTATTTCAAGAGGCTCCCAAATAGCTAAACATGGAAACTTCAGAGAACTGCTGATAAATCTCAATATGCAGTCCAATGCTGAAAGATAAAAAGTTAATTGTTTATTAATTGCATCTTTAAAAAGATTTTATCCTATCATTGCAGTCCATTCCTCAAACAAATAGCAAAACTTAAGTGGACAATAGAATGTCATTGTTTACATGGGATTATAGAGCAAATAATGAGGCCTTTCTCTCAAATGAAGTTCATAATATAGAAAAAATTTATATATTAAGATTTCTCCACATAATATTACCTCCATAAAAGGTGACCTCCTAAAAGAGGGTAAGTCTGACTTTCAGAACCCAAAGATCCTCATAGAATAAAAATTTATGATATTATATACCAAAGAAATTAATATGCACACTTAAAAGTATTTTATGGTAGCAGCTATTTAAATTGTGTAATGAAGAGCCGATTTGGTTCCACGTTCATTAGAATACTCAAAAGTTTAGTTTCATTAAACCTTTGAACTTGGAAGGACACAATAGCATTTTCTTTTTCTTGATGTGATTTTCATGAAGAAAGGAGATGCCCACACCATTTCCCTCAGAAAATGTGGACAATATTTTAAAATTTTAAATTTAAAAATATGTTGGTTATATTTGACATTGGTTTAATATGATAAATACTTTCTTGTAAAAAGCAAATTGGTTTGTAAGTAATTTCACTATTATTATTCTGTTGATAATCACATTCCTCTGTGTGCATGTGTGTGTGTGTGTGTGTGTTGTGTATAAATATATTTCTTAAAAATGTGTAAATGCCTTTTCTAAAATTTGTAACCCCAAGAAACAAGCTGGTGGAGCAATCCTAATATCTAACAAATTAGACTTCAAACCAAAATCAATCAAAAGAAATGAAGAAGAGAATTTCATATTCATAACAGGAAATGTCCTTCAAGATGAAGTCTCAAATCTGAACATCTATGCGCCAAATCTGAAGGCACCCACATTCATAAAAATAAAAAAAAATTACTAAAACTCAAATCAAACATAAAGTGTCACACACTTATAATGGGAGACTTCAACACCCTACTCTCATCACTAAACAGGTCCACCAGACAGAAACTTAACAAAGAAACTAAAGAACTAACAGAAGTTGTATCCCAATTGGGATTAACAGACATCTATAAAACAATTCATCCCAACACAAAAGTATATACCTTTTTCTCAGCATCACATGGAACCTTCTCTAAAATCGACCACATACTGGGCAACATAGCAAACCTCTACAGATATGAAAAAATTGGAATAACTGTGTATATCCTATAGGATCACCATGGTTAAAAGTTAGAATTCAACTACAACACAAATTGCAGAAAACATGAAAACTCATGGAAATTGAATAATGGGCAATTGCACCATTCCTGGGTCAAGGAAGAAATAAAAAAGAAATTAAAGACTTCCTAGAATTCAATGAGAATGTAGACACAACCTACTCAAATCTATGGGAAACTTTGAAAGCAGTGCTAAGAGGAAAGTTCAAACCACTAAGTGCCAACATGAAGAAACTGGAGAGTAATCACAATAGAGAATTAACAGTACAACTGTAAGCTCTACAACAAAAAGAAACAAGCTCACCCCAGAGGAGGAGATGCCTAGAAGTAATCAAATTGAGTGCTGAAGTCAATAAAGTAGAAACTAGGAAAACACTGCAAAGAATCAATGAAATCAAGAGGTGATTACTCAAGAAAGTCAACAAGATAGACAAACCCTTATCCAATTTTCCCAAAAGGCAGAGAGAGAATGCTAATTAACAAAATCAGAAATGCAAAGGGGGACATAACAAAGGACACTGAGGAAATTCAGAGAATCATTAGGTCATACTTTGAAAAACTGCACACAGAAAACTCAAAAATCTAAAGAAAATGGACAATTTTATGGATGGATATCACTTACCAAAATTAAATCAAGAACAGATAAGCAATTTAAATAAACCTATAAACCTTAATGAAATGGAAGCAGTCATCAAAAGTCTACTAACCCAAAAAAGCCCACGAAAAATGGGTTCAGTGGAGAATTCTACCAGAAATTCAAATAAGAGCTAATACTAGTACTCTCAAATTGTTGCACACAATAGAAGCAGAAGAAACATTGCCAAACCAACAGCAAACCAAGAGCCAACATCAAACTAAATGGAAAGAAACTCAATCCAATTACTCTAAAATCAGGAACAAGACAAGGCTACCCACTCTCTCGATATCTGTTCAATATTGTTCTTGAAATTCTAGTTAAAGCAATAATACAACAAATGGAGATCAAGGGTACACAAATTGAAAAAGAAGAAGTCAACAGTTCACTATTTGCAAATACTATGATTGTTTACATAAGTGACCTGAAAAACTCTACCAGAGAACTCCTACAGCTGATAAACAACCTTCAGCAAAGTGGCAGGAAATAAAATTAACTCAAAAAAATCCGTAGCCCTACTATATACAGACAATAAATGGCTGAGAAAGAAATCAGAGAAACATCACCCTTTACATTATCCACAAACAACATAAAATATCTTGGGGTAACACCAACCAAACAAGTGAAAGGCCTGTATAGCAAGAAATTTGAGTCCTTAAACAAAGAAATTAAAGAAGATAGCAGAAAATGGAATGATCTCCCATGCTCTTGTATAGGTAGGATCAACATAGTAAAAATGTCAATATTGCCAAAAGCAATCTACAGATTCAATGAAATCCCATCAAAGCCTCAACACAATTCTTCACAGAACTTGAAAGAACAATAATCAACATTATATGGAAAAACAAAAGACACAGGGTAGTCCAAAGAACCCTGTACAATAAAGTAGCTTCTGAATGCATCACCATCCCTGACTTCATTCTCTATTATAGAGCCATAGTCCTGAAAACAACTTGGTATGGGTACAAAAGTAGACAGATAGAAGAATGGAATAGAATTGAAAACCCTGATATTAACCCACACATATACAAAATCTTATTTTTGACAAGTACCCACTCAACTAAAAGGAGCTATGAGTTCCATGCCAAGAAATACCACCAGTAACATAACTCCAGATGTCCAGGTTTCATTGCAAATACAAAAACATAAATAATCAAAACACTAAGTATACATAAAAACTTAAAGTTCTCAAGGCAATGTCAAGGAAGTCCAGAGGACATGGATAAGGGCCATAATAGTGATTGAGAAAACATGGAGAAATGAAATACTATAGATAATTCAATACACAAAAGTAGAATTTAACAAAGAGAAAGTCTCTGAAAATAAGCAAAAATGACATAAGACTTATAATAAAAGATGCAAGGATTCAAACAAATTATTCAAAGAAAAGCCTCATCTAACTGATTATGTCTAAAGGAATATAGAATATCAGCTATTGAACACAGGGTAGAAGGATTAGATCACTCAGTGACACTTAATATCAAATAAAAGAATAGATAAACAAACAACAACATCTGCAAGATCTCTGGGACACAATACAAATACCAAATCTACAAATAATAGATTTAGAAGCAGAAGATATCCATGTCAAAGGCACAGAGTACATTTTCCACAAAATCATAGGAAAAAAACACCCCACTGTAAGGAAAATAATGTCATTCAATTTTGAAGAGACAAACATAGCATAAAATTGTCAGGATCAAAGAAGAAATTCATCATGTTGTATAATATTCAAAACACTAAGTGTACAAAACAAAGTATGATAAAGAAAGCAGCAAGAAAGAATAATCAAGTCCCTTACAAATGGAGGTCCATCAAAATAATAGCAGATTTTCCAATGGAAAATGTGAAAAACAAAAGGGATTGGACTACAGTTCTACTACATGATTTTGAAAACTACAGATGCCAGGACAGACTACTATACCAGCAAAACAATCATTCATAATTAAAAGAGAAAGGAAAGCAATGCCAAGATTAAAAACTAATTTAAGAAATGTATAGCCATTAAGCCAACCACAGAGAAGATATTGGAAGGAATGCCTAGGACTCATGGTAAGTTTAAATTTTCCTAAGATGACAAAAGGAACAAATAAACAATTCCATAA